TTCTTGATACTGTTAATAAATGATTTTGAAAAACACTGAGAACTGCATAAGACTCATCAGTCAGCTTAAGTCAGTAGGACTTTTGGAACAAAAAGATAAAAAAATATAAAAAATTTAAAATCTATCAATCAAAGAATACTCGCATAGTATTTTTAGCATGGTAAGCTATATAGAATTTGCTACTTATAAAAAATGAATTATAAGAGCACATAAAAAATAAATTTTGTCTGTATTTCTTATGGCTTTCCTATCTCTTGGTTTAGTTTAGTAGTGTTAAACCCTAAAGCAAACATTTATTATATTGCAGCTTACCAATTCGAAGATGTACTGACTGCATTCGTTTTCTTCTTTAAACTTTCTTTCCTTATTTTCACTTAGATATATGGCATGTAAATCTATTGTTTTTCAATTGTACATGCTGATTAGCAGATGAGTTGAAGGGTTGATACAATCCATTTACTACTGACAGGGGTGCTTACAATAGTCAGCTATTATTTACTTATGCAAAACCTTTATTTAAAGAAAGGGGGGAAAATATTGCTGTAACTGCTTAAAAAATGCGAGCTGGAATTTGATGTTGATTTCTCAGTTTATCTAATTCTGATGCATCTAGCTGCAATAACTACCCTCAGATTAAAAATGCTTCTGTCCAAAGGTATCTCTGTTGCTTCTTCATCCAGAGTAGGAGCATTCTAATAAGGAAGGTGTGTTACTGGTCAGATCACCAGGTGAGCACAGAGGGCAAAAAGTGAAAACTAATGTAGCCACCACATCTAACTGCAATATATTAAATGTTTTGTTTTTTTTTAGTTTAAAGTGGTTCTAAGGTACATCTTATGCATTAAAGTAAAAAAAAAATACTTACCTGAGTCTGATCTTGATCCAGTGATATGCACAAGAGCAGTGGCTCTCTCAGCTCTCTCTTTCTCCTCACTGGACATAGAGGAAGCAGTGGGAGCCATGGGCTCCTATTGCTGTTAACCACTTGCCCCCCAAAGGATTTATCCCCCATTCCTGACCAGGTCATTTTCTGCAATATGGTGCTGCGTTACTTTAACTGACAATTGTGCAGTCATGCAATGCTGCACCCAAATAAAATTTATGTACTTTTTTCCCACAAATAGATGCTTCTTTCGATGGTATTTGATCACCTCTACATTTTTCATTTTTTGTGCTATAAGCAAACAAACACCAACAATTTTGAAAAAAAACAAAACATTTTTTTTTACTTTTTTCTAGAAATAATAAATTAATATATCATATCTAGTAAAAAAAAATTAAAAAGCACATTTCATCATAAATTTAGGCCAAAATGTATTCTGCTACATGTCTTTGCTAAAAAAAAAAAATCCCAATATGTGTAAATTAATTGATTTACATGAAAGTTATAGCATCTACAAATAGCGGGGGGGCAATCAGTGACTTATAGCGGGACTGTGGCGAGCATTCTGACATTGACTGTGTGTCAATGGACAAACATAGCTGGCTAAGGAGTGTTCATGCATGAGTGCCCCCAGACCCAAGTGGATTGCTTCAGACACAGTGGATGTGAAGGGAGGTTTCGGGTACAGTGGTTGCTGAGAAAAGGGGGGCTACAGACACAATGAAAACGCAAAGAAAGGGGTGTAAGTGTGGTGAGAAAAGGGTGTTGCAGGTGCAGTGGGTGCTGAGAAAAGGGGGGTGCAAGCACATTGGATATTGAGAAAAGAGGTTTATGTAGAGAATGTAGTGGGGGCTGCTTAACCCCTGGTTCAGATATATGTGGCTGTGCGGGCCGCATTTTGCGCAGGCTCAAGAGCCCATTCATTTGCCCCAGGACACGCAGGGAAGAAGTCCCTGCACTTCTTTGGAAACCGCAGCCCACACCGCAGGTTCCCAGTGCGGTTTCGGTTTCCAGTGCAGGCGGCGTACCATTAGAATTAATGGCACCCGCCCGTGGGTCCGCATTCTTCTGTGCGGGTGGTGAGGCTGCATGGATTTTTGTGCAGATCCGCAGTGGCACCACCCGCACATATGTGAACCAAAAGTTATACCCTCTATCACATGTACGCTCTCAAGTGAATGGTGCTACTCTGCAACTGCCCCAAAAAACTAGTGTATTTGTCTATAATTAGGGAGTTTTAAACCCCGTCTACTGCTGTCTGAAGAGCATTGTGAACGTGGATAGTGCCTGTACCAAAGAAAGCCTGAATGAGGCCTTATAGCTAGGGTTGCCACCTCTTCCCTGGAAAACCGAACACATATTAATTACACAGGTTCTGAGGCTAATTTATTGCACATAAGGCACTCAGTGAGTTTAATTACCACCTTAATCAACCACAGAACCTGTGTAATTAATATGTGTTCGGTTTTAAAGTGATGAGGTGGCAGCCCTACTTAGAGCCCGAAATAAGGAACAACCATAAATGAATGCTTACTCCTTAGGAACAGCTGGCACAATCTCCTTGCTAGGTATACACACATAAAACTCAGGCTCTTCTGTTTCTTTACACTCAAACCAACACAGTTTACAGCTTCTATAACATATGTATAAACCCTTCATGCCCCAAGTGCACAGTGTAAATGAAAACAATCTTTATGAATTAGTATTCTTATTACACTGTTAACTCTGTGCCCACACAAATCTTTTGCATGTGTTAAAAACAAACCTAGTTATGGGCGGTACCCAGGGACGGACTGACCATTTGGAAACTCGGGCACTGCCCGAGGGCCCAAGGTCAGTAGGGGGCTCCATGAGATGCCCCTTGTACCTTTTTCATAGGCTTTTTTGAGTTTGGGCAAGGACACAGGAGCCCCATGATCCCCTATTGCCCGGGGGCCCCATTAGTTGTCAGTCTGCCGCTGGCAGTAGCACAGTTTTTCCTAGTCTGAATGACTTATGGCCAGGAGTAGACTGACAACTCTTTGGGCCCCCAGGCAATAGGGGATCATGGGGCCCCTGTGTCCTTGCCCACACTCAAAAAAGCGTATAAAAAAGGTACCAGGGGCATTTCATGGGGCCCCTTACTGACCGGGCCCTCGCGCAGTGCCTGAGTGCTCGAATGGTCAGTCCGCCCCTGCTCATGGCTTCCCTGTCTGCTTCTACTGTCTCCTACTGACTTGTGGATATCTACTACTTTCTGGTTCCAGAGTTTAGCCATCACTTGTTCTGTGTCCTGTTCAATCCAGTGGTGTATTTAGGTTTTGTGCTGCCCCCACAGACACCGACCAACACCCCTGCCCCCCACCTGGAAGAGCCTTCCACTACCTCCCCGTCGATAGAGAGAAAGACACTCATCTTCACAGACATCCCCGGGAATGAGAGGCAGACTCTACATACACCATCAAGCAGCCTGCAGCCTCTCTCAGATCCCAGCTGGTTCCCATGGTGCACTTATCCTTTCTTTCATCCCTTCTTCTGGGGGGAGGTGCTTCCCCCCCTGAAAAATGCCGCCCTAGGCAAGTGCCTTGTTTTCTTTGTGGTAAATACACTCCTGGTTCAATATTCTCCTACTCACATCCGCACTCCTTTCAGTTGGTTTTGGGACACAGCTGCTTGCATACACAATTTGAAATCTGTCCTCTCTCCTCCAGCTACTCTCTTTTTTTGCAGTGGGCTGAAATCTTTTGATTCTAGAAGAAAAAAAGCAGATACATCCTTCTCCTTGCATAGAATTAAAAAACGCAAGAATATTTTATAAAAATCACGCTCAAAATAGCAAAACTTGAAGTTGGAAAGAGGATACAACATAAAACCAGCTCACACTGTTACCACGTGCAACCACAATACAAAGGAGATTTGGTAAAAATGTTAAAAGGAATAAAACACTTATAGATATGATAAGTCCAAAGAATTAAGCATAGACCACATATTTTGACACATTGTAGACACATACTGTATCCTTCCTTAGAAAAAGAAAGACAGGAGATATATACCCATTTTTTTTTCTAAGGATGGATACAGTATGTATGCAGCCTTTGCAAGGCCATCCATCTTTGGCACGGGTGGTGAGTGGAACATCGCTAATACAGTATAAGAGGGCAGCATGGCGCATTGCAGTTACAGCCTTGATACCCTAATTGACAACCATATTGACTCTCTTGTATCACTTATTCACTACAGGATGGGGACATCATGCTAAATTCCATGAAAGGTGTACAGCACCCTACATTTATCATACGGCATGGATATCCCTACATTCTACATCACAGATTCTTAATATGGGAGTTAAATAGTTAGCACTTCCGCCTGGCAGTACTAGGGTTGTTGGTTCGAATCCCAGCCACGGCACTTCCTGCCTGGAGTTTGCATGTTCTCCCTGTGCCTGCGTGGGTTTCCTCCGGGTACTCCGGTTTCCTCCCACACTCCAAAGACATGCTGGTAAGTTAATTGGCTCCTGTCTAAATTGGCTCTTGTATATCAATGTGAGTTAGGGACCTTAGATTGTACACCCCTTGAGGGTTAGGGACTGATATGAATGTACAATATATGTATGTAAAAGCACTGCGTAAATTGACGGCGCTATATAAGTACCTGAAATAAATAAATATAGCTCGCACGCTGGCGGTGAAGAATCCCTATATTTCATTAGCAGGGCCTGGCTATTTCAAAACTATAGATGGCGGATGCTATATGGTGATATTACTATGGTCACAAAGTTATTCTATTCCATCACTCTGGACATGACTGTCTTTACTTAAGATCCTACCACTCATTCTGCTCTATGGTGCCTACTGTGGACCATTACTTAATTCTGTGTGTTGCATAGTCAATAAAATTGCATTTGTACTGCCTCAAGTCTTTCTCGGACCATTTTCCTGAACTGAATGTTTAGGTTTAGTATTGGGTTCCTGAATTCATCCATTATTGGTACTCATGTATTTGTTATATACAGTATTGCATTTCTGATGTTTTGCCTTATGGTACAGTTTTTTGAACACATCCCCTACATGGTGGTGTAACCTGTGTGTCAGTGCTGCTCATATACTAGACCTAGTGTCATTACATTTACAGCATTCAATATTCATGACCGGTCATGACGTCTGTTTTTAACCTTCTGGTTTTAGGTCATACTTTGTTGTATTGTCTCATCTTGTGGTGATGGCTAACTGAGGTATTGTTAGGAATGGACTGGCCAGCAATGGTGGGACTCACCTGCCTTTTGATCTGCAGTACCAGGGCTGGCCAGCGGGTGCTCCCAGCAATCAGAGACTCAACCTTTCAGCCAGCTAACACCTGGAACTGATGATACTGGTGTATTTAAGGGATGGCCAGACTTGCAGACTCTGCCTTGGTATTGTGTTTGTCCTGGGCCCTGTATCTGTCCTGCATCCTGTTTCTGTCCCTTTGCTGACCCTGCCTGATCTGAACTGCTGCTGACTTCTGCTCTGATCCCTGGCTTGTGACCCTGACCATCCCTCTGCCTGACCCTCTGTACTACGCTGCTTGCTACCTGTTTTGATCCCTGGCTTGTGACCCTGACCATCCCTCTGCCTGACCCTCTGTACTACGCTGCTTGCTACCTGCTGAACCTGGCCTGTGACTCCGACCATTCTCTGCTTGCTCCCCCTGTACCTACCTGCCCAATTGATATTGACCCGGCCTGCCTGACGACGCTTGCTTGTATGTACTGTTATCTGTGGGTGGTTGGTTTGGTTTGTTTGCACTGTATTATGTTTAGTATTGCACTGCGTTTATGTTTGTATTGTTAGTGTTAATAAATTATATTGTTTATCACATATCTGAAGTCTGCGTTTCCCTGCATCAGTCACACACCTCTGGTCACACCTGGGAGCCCTTACAGGTATTTACCTAAATGTCTACATATGCAAATTTTGTAATAAAGCATAATTTTTGAGGAATTTTTGAGTATCGCTTTCTGTTCATAATGTAACCGCTTTTTTGTGAATCTCTTTGCACACCCCCTCTTTTATGATGCTTATGTTTGTCCCCTTTTCACAATGCACGTAATTTTAAAGATTGACATGTTGGGTAATTATTTACTTGGTTCAACTTCTTCTTTTATATTTTACCAAAACATTTGGTAATTTATGGTGTTTGTGTGCCCTAAGAAATTAAAAATTTTGTGTTTCCTAAACTATTGCACCAATTTTTTATGTGACATAACAAATTAGAACTCCCTGTGATGAAGTCAGAAGTGATGAAATGCATCGGCACATGGCTACATGGTGAACGGAGATGATGTCAAAACCGGAAACCAGAAGTGACAAGGCAATGCAATCCAGTTATGCTGAAGGTGATAAGACAACACAGCATTATTAGTAACACTACTCCTGACATCTATCCATGTGTTAACAAAGATGAACCCATTAATGATTTTTATTTTGTGAGTGGCTTTTCACTTTTAATAAAGTATATTACTTGGGTCACTGTACCATTAGAGGCATCTGTTTCTTTTTCATGTTGATGATACACAGTCGATTGGATTGAGGAGTTCGGTGGAGAACAGCTATCAGAGAACAGATGTGGAATTTCTAAAGCCAGCTATGCCAACCACGAGAATGGGAGGCATGACAATTTGCTGAGTGTTTGTCCATAAGAGAGAGCAATCTTTATGAGCACAAACGGTATTTTGTTGAAAAAAAGAATTTGTTTTTGGAAAGGAATGAAACACCTCTTTTCACACATTATTTATTATAGACTATCATTATAAGCACTTTTTTTTATACACTTTGATATTGTTATTATATCACAGCGCTACTGTGAAGTGGACATTTTGCAATTTATTGTTAAGAAATTAGAAATACCACCAATTTATTCTCTAGTGTGTCTGCTTTCAGGAAATATATCATAAAAACAAAAGACACAAAAATTGCTCTGGAAGCAAAAGGGTTAAATAGGGAGCCATTTTTAAATATATATAGACCTCTTAGGGTTTCTTCCAGAACAAAAAGTATAACCATGCTATCAATATATCAATATCCGGTACACACTGTAAACGCAATATTCACTTAGCTGTCTCAACAAAAGTTTTCTACCAGATATATGGGCAAAAATACATATAGACAAACACTCATAATCAATTCTGCTGAGAAGACTCAGTCCCAACCTTGTACACCCTGTTTATAATACAGTGCGACTGCTCATTTCTTTGACGCTGAAAACAAAAACAATATGTGACAATAATTTTAAACAGTTCTAATATATGACATAGCCTATGAACTAACTGCACTGTCTGTCAAGCTATCACTATTAAACTTTCAGAGAGCTGTTAAGAGATATTGGTGACATTGATTGTCATTTATTGCAATAGAGTAGAACTAGGAAACATTAGAATGCCAAACAAAGTTTGGGTGACCTTATGATTTTTTTTATTATTATTTAAAAAAGCCTTGAGAAATGAGTAAGATGCAAGTAATATTCAACGCTTTTCAAAGGAAGTATGGGGTTTACTGATAAGAAAAAGCTGTTCACTTGATTAATATGTAAAATGCAAAGTGCAACACCAGTCATGTGTTTTGTTTTGGCAGTAATTTTATTCCAATGGAATTTAAGTGGTCGCCCAGGGTAAACATACTGCAGTATAAGTTTTACAACATGGTGATTTTGAGGCTGGTGAAGCAGTTACATTTTACGGATAAAGATATAATAAATATCATAGGTGACAAAATGCATTAAAGTAGAACAAAATGCATTAAAGTTTGGACAGAGCAAGGGAGGGTTATAACCACTGTCAGTTTTATTTTTTCGCCATCTGTGTCCCATTGCAGATTTCCCTTCACTCTTTGTCCAATAGCCAAACAGGAAGTGAGAAGGAATCCCTGCAAATTAAGTAAATTCCTTGGGGACCCCAAGGTCAACAGAACTAGCGTTCCCCTCTATTACGTTTCTGGGAACAACCCAAAATTTGGAATTTCCTTTTACTTTAATTTTTAATCATAATGGTAAAAAGAACCTTCCCAAAACCATCACATAGGAGGCTTGTTAGCCCCCTTGTGACAGCAGTAAAGTTAAATAAAAAAGTGTAAAAAAAAGTTTTAATAAAATAACTAAAAACAATTTCAAAAAATTAAAAACACCCATGTGCATGCATCCAACTGCAAATGGCACGTATGTCCTGCACGCGTATGTAAACAGTGATTGCACCAGACTTGTGAGGCATTGCCATGAATGCTAGAGTAAGAACAATAATTCTAAGGCCAAAATTCCCAATCAACTATACACTGATAACCTGTAAAGGTTTTTAACCAATTCAATATTGGGCAATTTTACACCTTCCTGCCCAGGCCAGTTTTCAGGTTTCAGCGCTCTCACACTTTGAATGACAATTGCACGGTCATACAACACTGTACCCAAACTAAAATTTTATCATTTTCTTCACACAACTAGAGCTTTCTTTTGGTGGTATTTAATCACCGCTGGGGTTTTTATTTTTTGCTAAATTAACAAAAAAAAACCAAACATTTTGGAAAAAAAAAAAAGTTTTTCTTTGTTTCTGTTATAAAAGTTTGCAAATAAATAATTGTTCTTCATAAATTTAGGCCAAGATGTATTCTGCTACATGTCTTTGGTGAAAATAACCCAAATTAGGATGTATTTTTTAGTTTGTAGGAAAGTTATAGAGTTCACAAACTATGGTATAGATCTGAATATTGATCAATCCTGAAGTACTGACAGGCAATCTAATTTCTTGAGGTCCAAGAATGTCAGAACAGTACAGATATCCCCCAAATGACCCTTTTTGCAAAGTAGACAGTCCGACGTACTTCATGAGAGGCATGGCAAGTTTTTTGAAGTTGTATTTTTTTTGTCATAATTTTTCGGAAAATGAAAAAATGAAAAAAATTAGTTTCACTATTTTTTTTTTACATATTTTCACCAGTGCAGTACAGCGTCATCATATAACTGGCATGGCTGTGATCAGGGACACTGACTGGTGACAGTATGAAAAAAAAAATATATATATATATTTTTTTTTTATTACATTTTTTTTCTTTTTTTTAAGATTTTTTTTTCATATTTCACTATGACCAAAGTAGTACAATATTACCATAGTAACATTGTACTACTTCAGGGAAGTGATCAGTATTTTTTTTTTACACAATTTGCTTATAGCAAAGAATTACTTATAGCAAAGAATTACTTACTAAGCAAGCATTTACCTGAATGACATCGATTCATTCAGGTTTTTTTTTTTTTTTTTTGTGCTTAGCTGTGATTTGGCTACAGCTAATCACATGACATGCATGTGATTAGCTGTGACCATTCACAGCTCCACACTAGTATACAATGGATGGCATGAATGAAGCCATCCATTGTATACAACTGTCATGTGACCTGCTGTGATTGGTCACAGCAGGTCACATGCGGTACCGGCAACGGGGACCGATACTCAGATCTTTCATCGGCCGTGTCCGAGGTACATGGCCGGTAACAGATCGCGCCGCTGAGCCACTGTGCAGGAGCGCAATCTGCGCATGTGCGGGGGGGACGCCATTATGGCATCCACCCGGAATGCTGATGACATTTGGCCGCCCGCCATTCGGCCATAGGGCGGGCGGCAAATGGTTAAAGCATCCACCTATGAGGAAAATTTTAGGTAACTTCATTTTTCACTATTTCTTGAATGAACATGTTTTTTCGTATCTCAAAGCAACCTATTTTTTTATATTTTACCACAATAAGGGTATTTCAATGTGTTTGTGTGCACTAAAATTCATTGTAGTGTATTTTTTCTTTAAAATTTGTGTTTGATAAACAGCTAAACAAATATTGTGTGACATAAATAATTGCAACAGTCACCATTTGATAAATAGTTATAAATATTTTCTAGCAAAAAAAGGAAATGGTAAATAATTACTGATTTTCAGTAACAGACATTTGCAATGTTGTCCAGATGTTCCTTCATACAGTCATAATGAAGAGAAAACATTTTTACACAGTCATAATAATAAGGAAACAATGTTCACAGTGATAGTGAAGACACCATTGTCTAAAAGTTACTTCTTACAGTCAAAGTAACAAGTACACATTGGGGAGAGTTACCAAAGCAGGTGCTCACAGAATCACAGAATCAGGTGCAGCTGAGCAGAGGTAACCAATCGGAGCTTCCAGGATTTTATTGTCAAAGCTTACTTGAACAAAGTGAAGTTAGAAGCTGAATGGCTACTATGCACAGCTGAAACCAGATTCTGAGCTCCATTGTGAAGAGCGGCATATATTGTTGATCAGCCCATGCTTACAGTCAAAAGTAGAGAAAAAAATTGTTTTGTTTCAAAGGTCAATTCTTATAGTTAGATCTCAAAATTTCCACTCACCTGCTTGCGTTTGACGAGTGGAAATATGTGGGGTGTGAATGTATACCAGGCCATAGGGGTACAGCGGGGTATGGCAAAAAGGCCGCTTGTACACGTGCTGCTCAAAGCAACTGTGGCAGCTGGGCTTGTCAGTCCATCCATTGTTGTTATACTGAGGCCTGTCAGCTGGGAGCCTGACATGGAGGATGCCGGGGATTGCAATTTCCACCCTGTACCGAAGTGCTGGAGGATGGGGAAGTCGAGGGACTAAGCGCTCCCAGCAGGCTGTGAGGGTGAGTGGAGGATTCCCAGAGAGCGGAGGGGAAGAAGAAGGCCAGAGGTAGGCTGCTGTAGGTGGATGCTTCCAGAGTGTGGAATGTCTGTGCTCCATGTAGGTATTGGGGGGTACTGTGATGAACTAC